GCTGCCCCCCCAGCCCTCCCTGCTCTCCAGCCCTCTCCCTGCACAGCCTGTGAGCATCCTCCCCTGCACTGTGGGACCAGTGCAGCCAGGCTGGCACGCACAGGAGCAGAGCCTGCTGCTGCTGACAACCACACACGTCCCAGGCTGGGCCCCCGGCTCCTCTCACACACCTCCTACACGCGCTGACACATCGGGAGAGCAACCTGCTCCCTCCACCTCCACACGCGTGCGCACACGTGTGCCTGCACATGCACCTCCTGCTGCTCCCACAGCCCTGGCCTGCCCCCCCCCACGTCTGCAGCACCACTTACCCCTGGAGGGGGTGAACCACCAGGCAATCCAGGCTGGGCCCCCGGCTCCTCTCACACACCTCCTACACGCGCTGACACATCGGGAGAGCAACCTGCTCCCTCCACCTCCACACGCGTGCGCACACGTGTGCCTGCACATGCACCTCCTGCTGCTCCCACAGCCCTGGCCTGCCCCCCCCCACGTCTGCAGCACCACTTACCCCTGGAGGGGGTGAACCACCAGGCAATGAGGCTTGTCCAGCCCCTGCCGCGTTCTTGAAGGAGCCATCCAGCCGGGCCACATTGATCTGCTTCTTGTTGGCGTCATAGCTGGTCCAGAAGAGGTTTCTGGAAACCCAGTCCACGGAGAGGCCGTGAGCGTTGGGCAGGTCTGAAGGGGAATGGAGAAAGGAGACTTGTCAGCTGCGAGAACAGGGCTGCGATGATGCTCAGAAGGGTCGATCTCACGGAGCCAAAGCCTCTGCCCTGCTCCGACGGGAGCAGCGTGGGGGGCAATGCTCATCTGCACCCACCCGCAGAGACGACGGTCTCCACACCAGTGCCGTTGATGAAGGCTCTCTTGATGGTCTGGGTGCGGACATCAGACCAGTAAATGCGCTGCTCCAGAGCATCGTAGTCCACCACGGTGACGTTGTCGATGTCAGGCACCGTGAAGGAGATGATGTAGTTGTAGTAGGGGTTGTCAATGTCCACGCCACGGATCTCCATCTGCCGTGCGTACAGCAGGAACTTCTTAAACTCTGGGGAGAAGGACAAGAGGGGTGGTCGTGGGACCCGGTCTGCAGAACCAGCCCCAAAGCACCTACACCCTCTCCTCACCCCATAGTGGCCTGGACAGACCCTTACCATAGCAGGTTGTGTTGTCCTTGTCCAGCTTCATGAGGTGGGGACAGGCGCAGGACAACGTGCGGTTGTAGTTGATGAGGCAGAGGTGGGAACACGGCCCTTTGCCCCCGTTGGCTTCACAGGGATTGGGAGCTGCAAAGGGGGTAAGACTCAGTGACATCCCTATTCCAGGGGGCCCTAAAGGGCTGCAGACCTCCCAAGACCTCTGCCTGCCCCATCGAGGAGGTCAGACCCCTCAGCCTCAACACCCCAGAACACCCCTTTGCTGGGTGCTGTGGGCACACACTGAGCGCCCCATCCCCGTTCCATGCTCCCCACAGCCCATCCCACTGCCTGCGCCCCCCCAGGGCTCACCCAGGGGCTGCCGGGAGGGGTGATAGACCTGCAGGTCGAAAGGCTGCGTGTTGGTCCTCTGCACCACCGTCACGTTGTGCCCCGTCCACTTGTTGGCCTTGGCCAGCGTGTTGGTGCGCCAGTCGGTCCAGTAGACCTCACCGCCGTACAGGGTGACGGCGAAGGGATGCGACAGGTACTCGTGTCCCCGCAGCACCTCAATGTGCCCCGTCCCATCGTACAGGGCTGAGTAGATGGCATCTGACCTGTGCCCAGCAGAGCCCAGGGGTGAGCGCAGGCAGAAGCACAGGTCTCTAACCCAACAGCAACAACCCCCAGGGCTGAAGCAGCTGCCTCCTCTGCTCTGCTTAATGCTGCGGAGGAGGACGATTTATGGCAGTGATGAGAGCCCCCACAGAGGACAAAACCCAGAGCAAAGGCTGGGACGTGCTGCAGACACAAACAGATCCCACAGAGCGAAGCCTTCTGCTCCCAGCCCAGCAGTCAAATGGCAGCACAACACAGGAGCACTGGGGAAGGAGCTGGGAGGGCTGGGTCCCAGAGGGGATGGGAGCTGTGGAGCAGTGTCCTGGTCCTACCTGGCGTCGATCCAAAGGATGCGCTTCTCCAGGTAGTCCACAGTGAGCCCATTGGGCCACCCGCCAGAGCCTGTCTCCTTGTGAATGGTGCGCCGGCCCGCGCCGCTCATGGAGGCAGCCTCGATGCGGGGCAGGCTGGCATCCCAGTCCGTCCAGAACAGGATCCTGCCGGGGACAGCGAGCAGGGATTGTCAGCGCAGGGACAAGCTCTGCCTCCTCAGCCTGCAGTGGGGTGTGTGCCCAAGCCTGGCCTCACCCCACAAGGGTGCTTGCCCTGGGGACCAATGTCCACTCCTGCCTTACCCATAGCGAGGGTCCAGGGCGATGGCGCGGGGATGCTCGATGTCCCCAGCCAGCAGGGTGGTTCGCATGGTGCCGTCCAGCTTGGCCACCTCAATCTGGTCCAGGTTGCTCTCCACCCAGTAGATGTTGCCAGCGATCCAGTCCACAGCCAGCCCCTCGGGGGTGGCCAGCCCGTACTGTATGACCACCTCAAAGCTGGTCAGAGCTGTGGGGCACAGTGCCGGGAGGGCTCAGGCTGGTGCTTCTTCCCCAGCACGCCTGCCACTGTCACACCCTGCTCTCAAATAGCCCCATGGGGGTCTGCTTCTTCCCCAAATGGGGCCTGAACCCTAAAGGGGTCAGCCCCACGTCCGTGGTCCCGGCTGGGCTCTCGCTACCCCAGTGCACGTGTCCCCTCCCATGGCTCTGCAGCACTGATGGGGAGGGGGCCTGGCTTTGTGCTCCCAGCTGCTGGGCTGCAATTACCATTAGGGAAGTGCTGGGAATGCTAATTAACTCCTACATAATGAGCAGCTTCAGAGAGCAGAACAGGATCGTTACAGGGGCTGTGGACTCCAGTGGCCGCACCATTGCGGGGTGCCAAG